CTTACAACAACCACTAAATCATATCCACTGTGTTACTTGCTTGCAACCTCACTGTAAATTCCCCTTGCTTAAAAGAACCACTAAAACATACCCACTGTGTTACTTGCTTGCAACCTCACTGGAAATTCCCCTGGCTTAAAAGAACCACTAAAATATATCCACTGTGTTACTTGCTTGCAACCTCACTGGAAACTCCCCTTGCTTACAAAATAACTCCTTACAACAACCACTAAATCTTATCCACTGTGTTACTTGTAGGCAATCTCATTGGAAACTCCCCTTGCTTACAAAGTCAATCTTTGCAAAAACTATAAAAACCTACCCACTGTGTTACTTGCTTGCAACCTCACTGGAAACTCCCCGTGCTTACAAAATAACTCCTTACAACAACCACTAAAACATATCCACTGTTACTTGCTTGCAACCTCACTGGAAATTCCCCTTGCTTAAAAGAACCACTAAAACATACCCACTCTGTTACTTGCTTGCAACCTCACTGGAAACTCCCCTTGCTTACAAAATAACTCCTACAACAACCATAAAACATACCCACTGTGTTACTTGCTTGCAACCTCACTGGAAACTCCCCTTGCTTACAAAATAACTCCTTACAACAACCACTAAAACATATCCACTATTACTTGCTTGCAACCTCACTGGAAATTCCCCTTGCTTAAAAGAACCACTAAAACATACCCACTCTGTTGCTTGCTTGCAACCTCACTGGAAACTCCCCTTGCTTACAAAATAACTCCTACAACAACCATAAAACATACCCACTGTGTTACTTGCTTGCAACCTCACTGGAAAATCCCCTTGCTTACAAAGTCACTCCTTACAACAACCACTAAAAAATACCTACTGTGTTACTTGCTTGCAACCTCACTGGAAACTCCACTTGCTTACAAAATAACTCCTTACAACAACCACTAAAACATACCCACTGTGCTATTTGTTTGCAACCTCATTGGGAACTCCCCTTGCTTACAAAGTCACTCTACAAAAAACTATATAAACCTACCCACTCTGTTACTTGCTTACAAAGTCCCTGGAAACTCCCCTTGCTTACAAAGTAACTCCTTACAACAACCACTAAAACCTACACACTGTGTTACTTGCTTGCCAAGGCACTTTTGAAACTTCACTTGCTTACAAAGTCACTCCATACAAAAACTACAAAAAATTTATGAGCTAGGTAACTTCCTAGACAACTCACTGGAGACTTCACTTGCTTACAAAGTTGCTCATTGCAGCCAAAACCACTTTGGTTCAGTTGATAGAGCTTCAGCCTGCAGACTGTAGGGTTCCAGGTTTGATTCCTGTCTCTAAAACAAAGTCACTCATTACAACAACTACAAAAACCTACCCTCTGTGTTTACTTGCTTGCAACCTCACTGGAAACTCCCCTTGCTTACAAAGTAACTCCTTACAACAACCACTAAATCATATCCACTGTGTTACTTGCTTGCAACCTCACTGTAAATTCCCCTTGCTTAAAAGAACCACTAAAACATACCCACTGTGTTACTTGCTTGCAACCTCACTGGAAATACCCCTGGCTTAAAAGAACCACTAAAATATATCCACTGTGTTACTTGCTTGCAACCTCACTGGAAACTCCCCTTGCTTACAAAATAACTCCTTACAACAACCACTAAATCTTATCCACTGTGTTACTTGTAGGCAATCTCATTGGAAACTCCCCTTGCTTACAAAGTCAATCTTTGCAAAAACTATAAAAACCTACCCACTGTGTTACTTGCTTGCAACCTCACTGGAAACTCCCCGTGCTTACAAAATAACTCCTTACAACAACCACTAAAACATATCCACTGTTACTTGCTTGCAACCTCACTGGAAATTCCCCTTGCTTAAAAGAACCACTAAAACATACCCACTCTGTTGCTTGCTTGCAACCTCACTGGAAACTCCCCTTGCTTACAAAACCACCCTTTACAAAAAATATAAAAACCTACCCACTCTGTAACGTGCTTGCAAAGTCACTGAAAACTCCATTTGCTTACAAAGTCACTCTTTAAAACAACCACTAAAACCTACCCACTGTGTTACTTGCTTGCAACCTCACTGGAAACTCCCCTTGCTTACAAAGTAACTCCTTACAACAACCACTAAAACATACACACTGTGTTACTTGCTTGCCAAGGCACTTTTGAAACTTCACTTGCTTACAAAGTCACTCCATACAAAAACTACAAAAAATTTATGAGCTAGGTAACTTCCTAGACAACTCACTGGAGACTTCACTTGCTTACAAAGTTGCTCATTGCAGCCAAAACCACTTTGGTTCAGTTGATAGAGCTTCAGCCTGCAGACTGTAGGGTTCCAGGTTTGATTCCTGTCTCTAATACAAAGTCACTCATTACAACAACTACAAAAACCTACCCTCTGTGTTTACTTGCTTGCAACCTCACTGGAAACTCCCCTTGCTTACAAAGTAACTCCTTACAACAACCACTAAATCATAGCCACTGTGTTACTTGCTTGCAACCTCACTGTAAATTCCCCTTGCTTAAAAGAACCACTAAAACATACCCACTGTGTTACTTGCTTGCAACGTCACTGGAAACTCCCCTTGCTTACAAAATAACTCCTTACAACAACCACTAAATCTTATCCACTGTGTTACTTGTAGGCAATCTCATTGGAAACTCCCCTTGCTTACAAAATAACTCCTTACAACAACCACTAAAACTTATCCACTGTTACTTGCTTGCAACCTCACTGGAAATTCCCCTTGCTTAAAAGAACCACTAAAACATACCCACTCTGTTGCTTGCTTGCAACCTCACTGGAAACTCCCCTTGCTTACAAAATAACTCCTTACAACAACCACTAAAACATATCCACTGTTACTTGCTTGCAACCTCACTGGAAATTCCCCTTGCTTAAAAGAACCACTAAAACATACCCACTCTGTTGCTTGCTTGCAACCTCACTGGAAACTCCCCTTGCTTACAAAATAACTCCTACAACAACCATAAAACATACCCACTGTGTTACTTGTTTGCAATCTCATTGGAAACTCCCCTTGCTTACAAAGTCAATCTTTACAAAAACTATAAATACCTACCCACTGTGTTACTTGCTTGCAAAAAGAATTGGAAACTCCACTTGCTTACAAAGTCACTCTTTACAAGAACCACTAAAACCTACCCACTGTGTTACTTGCTTGCAACCTCAGTGGAAACTCCCCTTGCTTACAAAGTCACTGCTTACAACAACCACTAAAACCTACCTACTGTGAACATAATTGTCACATCCCTTTCTGGCGAAGTTGCCTAGAAATTAAATTGCCTACGAAGTTACGCTCTACAGAACTCGACAAGAGTTTACGTGCTGGCTGGGCACTGTGTGCTTAAGAGAAATAATTGGTTACAGGAATTGAATTTACGTATTACAGGAATTGCGTTGGCTCAGCATTCCAAGAGAAATCAGCAACGTTATATACTTAAAAGCAAATTACTTATTGCTTAAAAACACATTACTTATTGTGGAAATTGTGTTGCTTTGTCATTCCTCTCTACAAGAAACATCAGCAACATATCCTTAAAAGCAAATTATTTATTATAGAAATTGCGAGAAGATAAACCTACTTTCACTTGCTTCAAAAGTCCGAGAAACGTGTTTGTGAAGTCTCATTACAAAACCTACAAAAACAAGGTATATTTAAAAACGGGGGAAAAATTACATATTACAGAAACTACAAAGTTACGTGCTACTTGACTTGCTTCAAAAGTCCGTGAAACTTCACTTTGAAAAATTGTGTGAACATTATTGTCAACTGTTTTTCTGGCGAAATCGCTAAGATATTAAATTGTCTATGAAGTTACATTCTCCAGAACTTGGCGAGATTTTATGTGCTGGGAACGATTGATTGGGGCATTAGCAATGTTATATACTTAAAGTCAAATTACTTATTACTTAAAAACACATTGCTTATTACGTGGGGTTTAAAAACGGGGGAAAAATTACTTATTACAGAAACTACAAAGTTACGTGCTACTTGACTTGCTTCAAAAGTCTGTGAAACTTCACTTGCTTACAAAGTCTCTCATTACAAAACCTACAAAAGCAAGGTATATTTAAAAACGGGGGGGGAGGGGGATTACTTATTACAGAAACTACAAAGTTACGAGCTACTTGACTTACTTCAAAAGTACGTGAAACTTCACTTACTTTCAAAGAAGTCACTTCCTTGCAAAGTCACTGGGGACTTCACTTGCTTACAAAGTTGCTTGCCACAGCCAAAACTGGTTTGGATCAGTGGATAGAGCATTATCCTGGGGACTGAAGGGTCCCAGGTTCGATTCCTCTCTATAAAGGACCTCAATAAGGCATTTTTAAAAACAACAACAACAAAAAGTTACTTATTACAAAAACGACAAAGTTACGTGCTACTTGACTTGCTTACAAAGTCTCTCTTTACAAAAACTTCAAAAACAGGGTATATTTAAAAACGGGGGAAAAATTACTTATTACAGAAACTACAAAGTAACGTGCTACTTGACTTGATTCAAAATTCTGTGAAACTTTACTTGCTTACAAAGACGTCACTTCCTTGCAAAGTCACTGGGGACTTCACTTGCTTACAAAGTTGCTCACCACAGCCAAAAACAGTTTGGCTCAGTGGATAGAGCCTTAGCCTGGGGACTGAAGGGTCCCAGGTTTGATTCCTCTCTACAAAAACCTTCAATAAGGTATATTGTTTTTTAAAAAAGTTATTACAAAAACTACAAAGTTACGTGCTACTTCACTTGCTTCAAAAGTAACGTGAAGTTCACTTGCTTACAAAGTCACTCGTTACAACAACTAGAAAAACCTACCAACTGCTTTACTTGCTTGCAAAGTCACTGGAAACTTCACTTGCTTACAAAGTTACTCTCAACGTTACTTACTTGCAAAGTGACATACATTGCTTGCTTGCAACGCTACTTACAAAGATACTTGGGACTTTTCTTACAGTTGCTTACAAAGTTACAATGTCAATCCTCCAGAAAGCTATTGATTTGGCCACAAAAGCCACAGATGAGGATAAAACCAAGAATTACCGGGAGGCGCTCCGGCTCTACCTGCGTGCGGTGGAGTGTTTTCTACAAGCGCTTAGAAATGAGGTTCAGGGCGACAAGGCCAAGGAGAGCGTTCGAGCCAAGTGCAAGGCGTACCTAGACCGCGCCCAGGAGCTGAAGGGCCATCTGCAGGGCAAGAAGCCAGCCACAGAGAATCAGAGTGAGAGCAAGGGCAGTGACAGTGACCGCGAAGGGGATAACCCAGAGGACAAGAGATGGCCAGGACAACTGATGGGTGCCGTCACGGTGGAGAAGCCCAACATCCGGTGGAGTGATGTGGCCGGGCTGGAGCTGGCCAAGGAGGCCCTCATCGAAGCTGCCCTTCTGCCAGTGAAATTCCCACACTTGTTCACAGGCAAGAGGGCCCCTTGGCGAGGGGTCCTGCTCTTCGGACCCCCTGGCACCGGGAAGTCCTACCTGGCCAAGGCATTGGCGACAGAGGCCAACCACTCCACCTTCTTCTCCGTGTCCCCCTCAGACTTGGTGTCTAAGTGCTTGGGGGAGAGGGATAAAACCAAGCTAGTCAGGAACCTGTTTGAGCTGGCCAGGCAGCACAAGCCTTCCATAATCTTCGTCGATGAGGTGGATACCCTCTGCGGCTCCCGAGACGAAAATGAGAGCGAGGCTGCCCGAAGGACCAGAGCGGAGTTCTTGGCCCAGATGCAGGGCGTGGGCAGTAACAAGGACGGGATTCTGGTTCTCGGCGCCACAAGCAGGCCGTGGGCGTTGGGTCCAGCTGGTAGGAGGAGCTTTGAAAGGAGGATTCACATCCCATTGCCCGAGGAGGCTGCCCGTTCCCAGATGTTCCGGTCGCATCTGGGCAGCACTCCACACAGCCTCACGGATGCCGACGTCCAGGAGCTGGCCCGGAGGACAGAGGGCTACTCGGGCGCAGACATCGGCATCCTGGTGCGGGACTCCCTCATGCAGCCCCTGAGAAAAGTGCAGTCGGCAACGCACTTCAGAAAGGTCTCCGGCCCTTCCCGCACCAACCCTGACATGATGGCTTATGACCTCCTGACCCCATGCTCTCCAGGGGACCCAGGGGCCATGGCCATGACTTGCCGGGATGTCCCCAGTGACAGACTCCTAGAGCCTGTGGTCTGCATGTCGGACATGCTCCGGTCTCTGGCCACCACCCGGCCCACCGTGAGTGCAGATGACCTCCTGAAAGTGAAGAAGTTCTCAGAGGGCTTTGGGCAGGACAGTTAAAAGCTTTTCACTGGTGAAGATTTTTCTCTAAGACTGAACGCTACAAAATAAAAAGGTTTTCCTTATAAATTTTCTTTGGGAACTAAAGCATAACAGCTTCCTGCTTCATTTATTTTATTTTATTTTTTAAAATATATTTTATTGATTTTGTACAGAGAGGTAGGGAGAGAGATAGTCAGATGAGAGAGAGTCATCGATCAGCTGCCTTTTGCACACCCCCTACTGGGGATATGCCCGCAACCAAGGTACATGCCCTTGACCGGAATCGAACCTGAGACCTTTCAGTCCCCAAGCCGACGCTCTATCCATTGAGCCAAACTGGTCCCGGCTGCTTTACTTATTTTTTAAGAAAAGGTTTTCACTGGTGACAGTGGAAGAATGGTAGCAACCATACTTAGGTAACAACTGCTGTTTGAATTTTAACCCTGCTATTCTGGCTTTGGCACTTGCTTACTTGCTTAAACAATAGGGTAGTTGACTCAGCTTCCAGATTGAGACCTGGAGCCTAAGGCAATTTTCATGCACACTGGGCGATTATAAAATAGTATCTATAATAACTCTCAACAATAAAGATTCAAAGTCTTTTTTAAAAATCAACCGTTTGAAATTTGCTTTATTTTCTAAATAAACTATTCAGCAGTTTGTTCTCAAACTTCTTTATGTACATCTATGTAAGCATACACGTACATCAAAATGTGAATGTCTTTTAATCATGTTCTCTAAAGATTCTACATATTAAAGTGCTTTTTGTTTTTGCTCTGTGCCACGAGGTGTGTTTTATTTCGTTCATCACACAAATCCTTTTCTACCCTCCCCGAGGGCAAACCGGAGGATCTGGCAGTCCTCGGGGGAAAGGTTCCCGGGAGTCGCACAGGCGGATGGCGGGGGCGGAGTGTCCGGGCTCAGGGTGCAGGTTGCCGCTCGTGTCCTTGCAGGTGGCTTTTTCTTCCCCGATTCACGACCGGGGTCCCGAAGAAGACGACGACGGGGACGGGAACCCCGAGGCTCTTAGGAAATGTCACCCCCCCCCTCTCCTATTCGGTGGTCTGCCTCTTGGGGGGGGCAGGGTGTCCTGCATCCCCGCCTTCTGCAGCTGGACCTCCTCCCAGCTGGAGGCTTCCCCATGGTCCGGCTCTTCGGCCATTCTCTTTAAAACAGCCCGAGACCTTCGCTCCAGGTGGGCGTCCAGGCTTCCATTCGTGTCCTTGCAGCTAGAGACCTAATTTCAGTCCTTCCCTCTTCTCTGGGGGTCAGCCCTAGTCTCTGTTGTCTTTCCCAGGATCACATAGTAATTCATCATTTCTTGGGATCCTGGGTTAGTTTCTTCTCTTTTCTCTTGGTCACCTGTGCTAATTTAAAAAATGTTAAGGAGATGGCCAACCATCACGTCTAAAGTTCATACTTTTTTCTTTGAATCCTCACCTGAGCATATTTTTTCCATTGATTTTCTAGAGAGTGTAAGGGGAGGAGGACAGCAGGAGAGAGAGAAACATCAACATGAGAGACATATCAGTTAGCAGCCTTCCTGCCCGCACCCCTACCGGGACTGGGGAACCTGCAAGGGAGGTACTGCCCTTGACCAGTAATCAAACCCAACACCTTTCAGTCCTCAGGCTGATGCTCTCACCACAAGAAAAAGAGGCCTGGGTTAAAGTTCATAGCTTTTTTTATTTTTATTTTTATTTTAAATATATATATATTTTTATTGATATTTTACAGAGAGGAAGGGAGAGAGATAGAGAGCTAGAAACGTCAATGAGAGAGAAACATCGATCAGCTGCCTCCTGCACACCCCCCACCGGGGATGTGCCCACAACCAATGTACATGCCCTTGACTTAATCGAACCTGGGACCTTTCAGTCCTCAGACCGACGCTCGACCACTGAGCCAAACCAGTTTTAACTGTGGGCACGATCTTGATGGTCTCTGCATGGCATGCGTGAGTTCCAGAAGAAAAATTCATGGGAGCCACATTCATTCCAGTTTAATCATTGCAGGCGGAGAAGACAGAGCCAGAGAGGAGGGGGAGGCTGAGTGCCTGGCCAGCGTTCCCTAACGGGAAGGAGATAAAAGCTCTGGACTGTGCTGAGCCCCAGTTCCAACTGCACTGAACCCCCAGTGCTGGGCGAGACCCAGGGGACCCAGACACATAAGGAGGGAGTCTGGGCTCTAAGGCAGAAACTTAGGGGAGCGGCAAAAGGCAATCCAACAAAGGGCTTCACAGGAAAACAAGGAGCCTGGGAGAACCCAGGCTCCACCCACTCAGACATGACTCCGCCAATATCCCGGGCCCAGTCAACAGCAACCTAAAGAATATCCAGGCGTCTTCCCATTTGGCCCTCTACACCTAATAACGAGGAAGTAACATTGTAAGCAAATAACATTGCTACCCGGTCCTAAGAATGAGCCAGTAACGTGGTAAGCAAATAACGTCGGTCCCCGGTCCATATAACGAGAAAGGAACGTTGTAAGCAAATAACATTGGACCCTGGCCCTAATAAGGACTCGATCCCAGGTCCTAATAAAGAGCAAGTAACGTTCTAAGGAAACAACGTCGGTCCCCGGTCCGAATACGGAGCAAGTATCTTTGTAAGCAAATAACGTGGGTCCCAGGACTCCGCTCTGGTCCTTCGGGCAGCCTCGCTCTCATTTTCGTCTCATTATCCTCATCCGTGGCTTCTGTGGCGTTTACCTATGCCACCATCTTGGTTTCGCTTATCAAATTATATACACCCTTTTAAATCTGAGGACTGCCCTAGCCAGTTTGGCTCTGTGGATACAGTGTCAGCCTGGGGACCAAAGGGTCCTGGATTCCATATGCAGAGAAGGGCACGTATCTGAGTTGCAGGCCCCTCCCCGGCCTGGGCCCTGGTTGAACTTGCACAATCAATGTGTGTTTCTCTCACATCAGTGTTTCTCTTTGTCTTTCCATCTCTCTCTACCATCCCTAAAAAACAAAAACAAAAATCAATGGAAAAATATCCTCAGGTGAGAATGTGCAAATAAATAAATAAATAAATAATAAGCTAGATCTTACATTGCATAACAACATTTTTTTTTTTAAATCTGAGGACTTACTGAAGGTACTTGCAAATATACCATCAATATCAAATTATTGATGAGAGAGAGAGAGGGGAAAGGTGGAGCATAATGTTTTTTTTTGTTTGTTTTTTTAATATATATTTTATTGATTTTTTACAGAGAGGAAGGGATAGACAGAGAGCTAGAAATGTCGATGAGAGAGAAACATCGACCAGCTGCCTCTTGCACACCCCTCACGGGGGATGTGCCCGCAACCAACGTACATGCCCTTGACCAGAATCGAACCCGGGACCCCTCAGTCCGCAGGCCGACGCTCTACCGCTGAGCCAAACCGGTTTCGGCACATAATGGGTTTTTAGGGCAGTGACACTATTCCTGGTGATACTTATGATGGATACATGTCGTCACATATTTGTCAAAAACAATAGAATGTATAACACTGAGAGTGAACTGTAGTATAAGCTTTCAATCAGGTTGAGTCTTATGATTTACATTGGATGGGCCATGATAAAATGAATTGTTCACTTTAAAAAAAAAAAAATTCTTATTTTTAAAAAACGCCGAAACCATCGGGATCGGTTTGGCTCAGTGGATAGAGCGTCCGCCTGCGGACTGAAAGGTCCCGGGTTCGATTCCGGTCAAGGGCATGTACCTTGGTTGCGGGCACATCCCCAGTAGGGGGTGTGCAAGAGGCAGCTGGTCGATGTTTCTCTCTCATCGACATTTCTGACTCTCTGTCCCTCTCAGTTCCTCTCTGTGTAAAATCAATAAAATATATATTAAAAAAACAAAAAAAAAAAAAAAAACAGAATGCCGAAACCGGTTTAACTCAGTGATGGAGCATCAGTCTGCGGACTGAGGGGTCCCAGGTTCGGTTCTGGTCAGGGGCATGTACGTTGGTTGCGGGCACGTCCCTGGTGGGGGGTGTGCAGGAGGCGGCTGGTTGATGTTTCTCTCTCATCAACGTTTCTAGCTCTCTGTCTCTCTCCCTTCCTCTTTGCAAAAAAAAATCAATAAAATATATATATATATATATATATATATATATATATATATATATATATATATATATATATATATATATATAAAATATATTTTATTGCCAAAACCGATTTGACTCAGTGGATAGAGCATCAGCCTGTGGACTGGAATGTCCTGGGTTCGATTCTGGTCAAGGGCATGTACATTGGTTCTGGGCACATCCCTAGTAGGGGGTGTGCAGGAGGCAGCCGATTAATGAATCTTTCTCATCATTGATGTTTCTATCTCTCCCTCTCCCTTCCTCTCTGAAATCAATAAAAATATATATTTTAGAATGAAACATGGCTTTAAAAGTAAATCTAAGCTCTTTTAGTAAACATAAAGAATTGAAACTTAACTGAAACAATTAAAACACACACACTACAATTGTATATCACTCCTTAATTAGAATGGCTAAAATGGAAAGATTTTGACAAAAATTATGGCAACTGGCCCCGCCGTGTGGCTGTTAGTTGGGGGTCATCCTGTGCAATGAAGGGCTGCTGGTTCGATTCCGATTCCCGGGGTGGGGTATGCAGGCGGCAGCTGATCAGTGTTGGGCTTTCACATTGATGTTTCTCTCCCTTCCTCTGTCTCTAAATATCAATAAACTTTTTTTTTTTTAATTATAGCAACTGGAACTTTGACGCACTGTTAGTGGAAATATGATGCAGTACTATGGAAAAGTGTAATAGTCTCTTTAAAAATTAAGCATATATACTCTGGTTTCTCTTCAGATCACATAAATATTTTGCAAAATAATAATAATAATAATAATAATTAAACATAGACTACAGTTGGGAGGGAACGAGGATAACGATAATGTGCGGTGAGGGGCTTATTCCAAGAGTGTGGAGGCAGCAGGAGAAGTGGTTGCAAAAGGAAGTAGGTTAGACCCTGACCCAGGTGGCTCAGTGGCGGATGGGGAAGGGCCCGGG